TACACTCACACAATCACTCCCCATGATCAATGACTGTGGCTTTGGCTATGAGACGATGTAGCCCTCTCTCAGTTCCTTGCTTCTATTCAGCCATCGATCCCATTCATAACTGGTCTTACACACTAGTATGTTGTAGAGGTGCACAAAATATTGTCTGTCAACCATTAATGCGATATCCGCATCTACAATACCAACATCGCAGAGGCAAGGAGGGACTCCTGACCAGACCAAAAGGCACCCATGGGGGTTTTCAGATACCTGGGACAATCTCCTACGGATAAAATCATCAGAAGAAGGAACTGCCCAACAAATGAAACAAATGAAACAAATGAAATAAATGTTATCTGATCTCAGGCCCCTTTAAGTTTCATATTTTTATTGACTCATGGGATGTTGTTGCTATTCAAATATGGTCTATTAGACAGTCTGTGATAACATTTACCCTTTGGTGCAATTAGGACTACTTTAGTTTTTTGCACTACAATTCAGTTCTGCTAATAAAAACAGCACAAACTGCTGCTTAATTTACACATAAATCAGGGCTCCAGAATACCTTATATACTTTTTAGCCACCCCCAAAGTGAAACCTGGCCATCCAAAATATTAAACTGCTTTGTTTACATTACATTTTTGTACCACCATGGTACAGGATCCACCGAAACACCAAACACAACACCGAGAACATGCTTAACATGTATGTGCATACATTTAGACAAACAATGTATACAATGACATCTATGTTCCATAAAGACATTTATGTGCAGATGTATAAGAGTAAGTGTATCAAACACTCTGTAACTAAAGATATAGTATTCTAAAGAATCACTTTATTTTCCTTGAAATAAACTGCATTCCTGAAAGCAAGTCTTTGTAAATTAAGGTTCAGTGTGTTCAGGTTGCCTTGCAATACCTCTTAAAATCATTACATATTTGTCCTGGAAAGCTGCTGCTCTTCAGAACCATATAATATTTTTATCGTCCCAGGGACAATGAGATGGTGTTAGTCTGGAGCCTTGATAAATGTGAACGAACTATTGTTTAATCTTACTTTTCTGTGTTGTTAGAAGTTGGGGGTCTTGCCCAGAGAGAATCTGATCCCTCCCTGCATAGAGGACTGCAATATGCAAATAAGTAGGGGTGGGCGATACACAAAAATATCACGATACTGGACATTTTCATAATACACAAAAAGAGCCAGTGCTGCCACATATAAAAATACGAGACTAATGACTTTCAGAAGTAAAACAACATCAGCATCGTTTTTGCCAGGCTCAGAGAAGTCACTGTATGCTTTACATCACGTGTCAGGCTCCAGACCTCATGGGCCAAAACACAGCAGACTTCAGCACGCTGCCTCATTATACACTCCTGAATTCAGAACTGAATTCAGAGAGTTAGATGAGTGTTAACACTTGTTGCCATGGTACTTTGGCCCGGAACGTCCCCACTTGGACACGTCTGCTTTACATGCTCTCGCCTTTATCTCGACGTCTGTTTATATGTTGTGTATTTTTGTTGTTGTTGTTGATAACTTTTTAAAATTTCTTTTATAGTTAGCATACAATCAACATTCTCTGAACACCAATAACATAAAAGGAAAAGTACTGGGGGGGATTTTGAAAAATTAAATAAATAGAAAACATAAGAGTATTCAATATATACAGGATGTTGATGTTTACAGTCTTAACGTAGTTAAAGGCATCAGTCCAAAAAACGAACCGTTGCTGCCTTGGCATCATGTAATCTCGCTGTCGCTGGCTCCAGAACAAGAATGTCCAGAAAATATCTGCACCATGACCGTGGCAAAGAAAGATTAGGTTCAAACCAGGCTTTCAAGATTGCTTTCTTGGCCACAGTTAAGGCTTCCAGAATAACCTTTATTTGTTGTGCACGAAGCACCAAATTACAAATAATCAAACCATGACCTTGAGGATTGTAACTGAAAAGCCCCCAAAAAAATATTTAAAATTCAGAATAGCTAAACCACCAGATAAATTTGCATGCTGGAGTGATTCTAGAAGCATTTTAGGTCTTTTGTTGTTCTATGTGAAATTTTTGGATAACTTCTCAATATCATTAAAAACGTGGGGGGGGGGTCATTGCAAACAGAAACTGACACAAGGAATAATGTTCATTTTTAATATGGAAATCCTGGCAGAAATGGAAATTTGAAGTAAAGACCATTTTTCCATGTTCTTGCTAGGTCTATTGAGATGATCATAGCTTTGTTTTCAAACTATCTGAATATGGTTAATTTCTGTTTTTTACTATTTAACCCATTAAAATATTTTAGATTACTGCAGTTGTTAACTGTGTTTCTTGTTAAAAGTGAAGGGACATCCCAGAATAATACATCATTATTAATCTACAAAATAGGCTCGCTTAGGCAAGCAAAACTATTTTAATCTTAAGAAAATCCATGCATAAATACACTATACTGTGATATACATCAAAACCATCAGAAATCCTAATTATATTGCGATATAAATTTCTGGCTACCTCCCACTACTAAACTAAGGTATTTATATAATCCAACAAGAGTAAATTAGTCAAAATAATGCAGGTCAATCTTTAACCTTGTCACATTTTTAATACACTGAGATACGTAGCTATATAAATCATAATATAATCACAAAGCCCTCTTTTTGAGCCACAGACATGTGGGTACGAGTGGCTATACGAGCAGGCCTATTAGAGAAGCACTGTAACAGAAGGAAGAAGAGTGTATTATTGGTTGAGCGCCAGTACAGATCATCTCTCGTCTCTCATTGCATGAGTTTGTGTCAGTAGCTGTTACCTGCGGCTAGACCAACAGGGTTCAATCAGTTTACAGCCGCAACCTGCGATCATTTACCACCTAGAGTCACACCATCACGCAAACAGAGGACACGTGTGCTTGAGATTATGTAAGGTAACAGCTGACGGAGGCTTGTTGAAAGCCAGCCTATAGAAAAGTGGGAATTTGCCAAGAAAGCCTGTAAAGACAAGACACATCTGAAAGACTCCTGCCAAATTCTTCCTGTTTCATCACATCAAGAAACATCTAAAGCATTTACACAGAGAATATGCAAACAATGAAGTTGTCAGATGGACCAGTAATTAGACATCAGGGCTGCAGTTAACAATTATTTCAATAAATCACTTATTTTCTCTGATGTTATTTGATTATCCAACTAATCAAACCACTACGCCTTATGCAATTTCTCCTCCCTTTGCTCAATCACAGTGCCACGATCATTCACACTTTTACCTTACAACAAGCCATTTTGTTTAATATGACCCAACGAAAAACAAGCCATAACACTCTTACGCTTCCTGTGATGTACTGCAGCGCTGTTGGAATGACGATGTGTATCAAAAGAACATTACAGAGCATTATGAACGGCTTTTCCCCCCATATCCAACATCACTGACGACTTACAGTGAGTTGACGACTTGAGACAACTTGTTGCTGTTCAGAGGAAAACAAGTATCTCCAAAATAGTAACTTTACAGGACAAGGCAAAAACACACTTACCTTTCAATGTAAGTTAATGTAAAGAGGTTTTATTGCAAGAGATTTTAGAGCATTTCTATTGGTCCATTTATTATAAAATGAAAATGAAATGAAAAATGAAACGAAACAGTGAACTGACTGGCTGCTACCAGCTCTTCCTTTGTTCACATGTCCCGTCATATCAGCGCTACAGTTCACATGTTTTGGTTGGTAAGAGATGGGACTAAGCATTTTATGATCTCTGTTCATGTCAAGTATCAAAAGGAGGCACAACATTCAAGAACTTCTCCATTACGGGTCTGATACCACTTGAAAACACTTGATTGGTCAGCCTGCTGACAAAAAAGTATATCCAATACAGAAAACCCAACTAGTTGTTTTACACAGCATCACAGTTTTTTAGAGGCACTAAACTCTTCAGATGTTTAATTCCACCACCACTGTAAACATTCGGACTTGGCAAATTTCTCTAGAACTGAGCATTTCACATAAAACCACTCAATTCCTACACTTACATCTTAAATTTAACCATTTTGAAACAAAAAAAAAAAGAGGAATCACCCCGTAAGTACAGTAACAAATGACATGTACTTCATTACTCTTCATCTCTGCTACAGCCCTATTAGAGAAAAAGGTCTTCAGCAGATGCACTTGGGGCTTAAAAACTAAAGAAACACTCTTTAGAGACAAAGCTAAATTGGACACAGCAGTGGGAGCAGATTCCCTGAATGCAGTTCATGTAGGATCCAAGAGAAAATTCTAAAGTGGATCTGAACGGCCATAAAGCCACTGCAGCAGAGGAGCCTTCTAACAGTCAGTTCAAACATGCTCCCAAACTAGATAATTTCGCAGTGGTGTAATTTTCTGAAGCCAGGCAGCACACACACTTGGCTCAGGCGCATAAACACACACACAGACACACAGACAGAATAAAAACACAGCGCCTGCAGAGGAGTGTCAGAATGTGCAGCGTTGCCGTGTTTCTGTGCTGTGTCTTTTAGGCCTTACACCGTGCCTCAGGTACAACAGCATCAGGTACAACAAAGAGTGCATTTGTTTAAGCAAAATGGGCTGGTGCTACATGCCAAAATCCTCAGAGGACACCAAAAATGAAACTATAAAAGCTGCCATGTATATACAAACGTCACTACATAAGAGTAACAGCTCACCAAAACAGTGAGCTGATGCTTAATAAATACTACACAGACTTACAGAGTCATGCCTGGTCAGGTGCATCCAAGCACAAACGGTACACGCTTGAGTGCAGAACTTAGTGTATGCTGCCATCTAGTGATGGCAAACATAAAGTCATTCCAATCTCCTTTCAAATTTTCGGTGCTACAGTGATTCAGTAGTCAGGCAGAGTCAGAGGAGGGACTTTGGCGCCCTCTTATGGCAGACAAAGGAAAAGTAAGCCCTCTTTAGACGGTCAGCAGTGATTACTGGTTGAGATTAATAACAGAATGAGAGGAACTCTGTTTCACAAGTGCACAAACACACACACCTGTATTCCAGAGGTGGTGAAGTAGGGAATCTCAAACTTGACGCTGATCGGTGGCTTTCCTTCTTTATCTTCTGCTTCCACACTGGGCAAACCGAAGTGAGCTCTCATCAGATACTCCTTACCTCCCTGAGACAGAGAGAGAGAGAGGGAGAGAGAGAAAAAGACAGAGAGAGAGACAGGAAAAAAATAAGGAGAGAAAGACATAAAGAAAGAAAATGAATATATCTTATAGGCTGACAGCACACATTGTATAATTTCATGTTCTGTACTTCAGAGCAACATAAACATCTTAACCCTTTCACCTTCCGGGGGTGTGTGTGTGTGTGTTTGTGTACTCACAGGGAAAGACTTGATGGACCAGACAATCTCACTGTTCTCTGGGACCCACTTCACACTGCCCACGGTGGTCTTAAACTTGGGTGAATCTGCGTCTGTGGGTACAGGGATGTGGATCTCCACGTTATTGGCTGTAGAGCGTCGCTTGAACTGTGATTTGGCCTGATAGAGGAAAAAATTAAAAATTTAAATTCCTGGAAATTCATCTGGACATCTTTGTAAATTGAGATTCAGTGTGTTCAGGTTGCCTTGCAATAACTCTTAAAATTATTACATATATTTGTACTGGAATGTTGCTGCTCTTCAGAACCATAGACTATTTTTATCATCCCTGGGACACTGGGATGGCGTTAGTCTGGAGCCTTGATAAGAAAGTTACTCTGTAACTTGTGCCATTAAAAATCAATTTAATTAATCATGTTTACTCAGTTAACAAAGAAATCAATTAAGTTAAACTGTAAAAAGACTTAAAGGCAGCTCTGATAAGAATGAGGAGCACTGACCTTTATCATGTACTCAATCCTGCTGTGCGAATGCTTCTCAATCACAGACTCGATCCAGATCAGTGGCTTCACCTGGAAAACAGCACAATCTCCTATCAGTGTAATCAGTGTGTGCAAGTGTTTTGAAGGAGTATACATATAAAGTGTAGTACAGATGTAGCAGTAGAGTGAAAATGTCGGCTGTGTGGAACTATTTTCCGGTTTCTACAAGAGACATTAGACAAGCAATGTGCAATCACTGTTCATGACGAGTATCAAGAGGGGAACACCACCCAAGAATTTCTCCATTACAGGTTTGATACCACCTGAAAACACAACATCTTGCAGAACACGCAGAATACAGCAAAACAACAGAAGCATAAAAGAAAGTTCCTGCTAGTCCATAACAACATGTATAAAATAGAGCTCACGTGATGCACTGGTTTGCTGATAATATTGGCCGATACTGACAAGCCACAATTGTATCATTATCGGCAATAATAGTGCAACTTTTTCCCATCACAGCATCGCTCAGATTTCAACTTATGATCTCCTGATGAGTCAAAATCTTAGACAGTTGTTACGCTGTGGACACCAATATAATCACCCCGTTTAACAATATTACTGGAATACAGGCTTAACCTGTGCATCTGAACACAAAACTTTTGAAGAGAAAAATACACAAAAACACTAAAGTTAATTGAGAAACTGAACCACCAACAATTCTGGGCAGTTCCACCCACAGTGCAACGATATTAACATTCTTTAGGAGTTTTTGAGTTTCTGCTGTTTATGAAAATGCTCTAAATACAGTGATATAAAAGTACATGATTAAAACATTAATATACAATTATATCTGCCAATATTAGACCAATTTTAGCCCCTAAAAATCAGTCCACGAAATGTCCAAATCAGTTGTGCCCTAGTATAAAGTGTAATGCACAGTAACCATACGCTCGTGTGTGTGTGCTCGTCGGTCTGCACAACACAGCCCAAAAAGCATGGTGTGTTTGAACAGTGCCTGTGTGAGTGAGAGATCAGCAGGGATACACACGTGTGTGTTGAGGCGGTAAGACATGAGCTCAAACTCTCCGTCTGGAGGGATGAAGGAGATGGTGCGGTCGTTCTCGAAACGGGACAAACGCACACACTGATGGAACTTCACATCTTCCAGCTCCACAGACTTACTCTTCCCTCCTGAGATTGACAAAAAGATGGTAACTTCAGTAAACAACAAAAATACATTTCCACAGCTCACAAACCACCTTAATATGCTAAGATAGAAGAATATACAGCAGTAATTAACAGTGTGTGAACTGCATGACTAATCATCACACGCCTGCCTCGAACCACTAAATAAACCAAAACAGAATTGCTTATGTGGTGTCTGACACTGTAGGGCATACTGTTACCTATAAATTGTATGTATGTATTTATTTATTTATTTATTTACCAATATACTGTAAGTCAGTAATATTTACATCTACATTAATTACTGTCATAACATCAAGGAATAAGCTCTGTATTTATTAAGTGTCCCTAAGAAAATCAGCTTTTCACTTGTCACAAATAAATACAATTACAGTGGAACTAGTCCTGGATCAGTAGTTTTACTTACAGGAGAAATCCACCATTTTTCAAAAAATCTGCATATTTAAAGGGGAATTCCACCAATTTTTCAAAATTTCTGCATAACTTATTTGTTAATATATAAACTCAAACAGCTCATGTGAAATGCTTCATTCTAGAGTCAAAATTGTTCACAGTAGTGGTGACAGAAACCAGATGACTAAAGAGTTTAATGCCTCTAAAAGCTCCCTCACAGAAAGACATTACATGAAATGGTTACAGATATGCTGCCTGATGCCTGAGGGATTGTTTTATGATAGTTTTCAAAGAAGGTTTGGATTGAAATTTATTGGTTTTTTTTGTTTTGTTTTTAATACATTCATGGTGAAGGGGTGCAAGGAGGGTGCTGTAAGGCAAACAGTACCCACAGAAAACTTAATTTTTGAGAATTGCCACTATTTATTAACCATTATCAACAGTAAAAAAAAACCTCAGAAGACACATGCAGGCTCAGATAGTATATAAAATGGTTATATTTGCATTGTGGATATTGTGACTCTCGGGTTCCTATAACCACCACTATAAAGAAATATGAGCCAGTGTGTTTTTCTACAATTAACTATTTTATATCGAACCACTCTGAATGAAGCTCCCTGATAAAAAGCTACCACACCAACTGGTTTTGTATACACTGCATGATGCCTTCTGATTTCTGAGAACAGGTTTTGGCCAAAAACTTTTTTTTAGAATACATTTATGGCAAAGAGGTACATGCAGTGTGAAATAGTTTACAAATAAATTAACATTTTTTTTCTTTACCATTATCAACATTACATATAAAAACTCAACACTAATGGAATAACCAGACCTGCTAATAAGCTTCACAGGTGTTGTTATTGATGATGAGGGTTTTCGATGTGAACATCCGGGCTATATGGATATTTTATCCTGTATGAATAAGCCAGGAAACCTCTCACAGATTACATTACGCAACCTCCTCTGGTAAAACTCATCCAGCTCCAACAACACTTCAGAGATGTTCAATACACATCTGGTAATTTTACACACAGTGTCCAGCCTTTTGCAAGCTTTCCACAACTAAGCTCAAAGTAGGACGGTGCGGTGAACTTACGTCCAGTGTTTTCGAACAGGACCTTGTCGTTGAGGCCCAGACGCAGCTCTGGCATGCCTGAGAGGAACACTCGCATTTTAATGGAGCCCACAATCTCACTGCGTAGGACGTTCCCATTCGCACTCACCTGAGGACAGAAACAGCAGAACAGAACAGATTTTACTGCACAGTTCTCAGTGTTGAAAGCACATACAGAACATCTTTTGGCCCGAAGGCGGTTTAAACACCTAAGAGATTTGACTGCAGATCAACAAGGAGATAAAATGTGATTTGGCATTATTCCCAAGGTAGTGCTTTTAAGAGCCGTCATTCCAGTTTTACAGTATTTTTAATTCTTCTTAATTTGGCACTATCAAAACCAAGATGCTAAACCACTGTATGTCAAGACTGAGGGACAAAGTCAACTACTGAAGGAAATTCAGCCAATACATACAGGTGAAAACAGAGCACAGCTGTGGCCACTTGGCCTGTTACACAATAACAAAGCCCTGCAAGCGTCTCTCCGTTTACTTTCCTCCTCACAGCAAAAAAACAACAGTGTCCTCTTTGTTGTGATGGATTTCTGTGTTTGTTTAGACTGCAAAGGCTTTCTAAAAACAGCGCTCCTACCAGGAGGTTCACTGACTCAATGACGTCCAGGAAAACCTCATTCTTCCTGTACTTTATGCCCTCTGACCTCCAGGACACAGCGTTGGTCACCGTGGCAGGGGGTCGTGGGGCGCCTGTGTCCAACTTGTGCCCCTCTTGTGTAATATATCTGAATGAACACACACAAATAAGTACAATGCCAGAAAACGTTGACGCACAAGTTCCAAAAATAACTAATACTAGTCGTACTGATAATGCTGACTTAGAAAAGTGTCTGAAGTTTGCTTCTTTAGTTTTGCACTGGAGAAACAAGGCTAATGTAAACAACAAATCATGGAAGCCTAAAACCCATAAATTAGCACTGTGCTAACTGTTTGTCTCACACACTTCTCTCAAACTGCTAAAAGTAGTAGCAGCCATCTTCAAGCTCCATATTTTTGCTTGTAGACAGCAGTTTGTCATACAGTGTCAGAAACCACATCCTTAACCATTCCAAAGGTGTAATGATTCAGGCATGCACTTTGCACAGTGTTAGCTAATGAGATACAAGCTTCCATTACTTCTTAGCTATGTTTGCCTCGGAGCTCCAGCTCAAGACTAAAGAAGCGATCTTGACTGATCGACTACATTCAGACTGAGGGAAGTTTCACAGAACTGTTCCTTTAAGATGCAAGAAAGGTAACAGATAGATGAGATGATACTGACTCCTGGAGAATCTTGCTATCTGTCGTTTGTGGGTAGCCAAAGTCCATCAGCTCATCCAGCAGCTCATAAATGATGACAAAGTTATCTCTGATGCTCTCCTCTTCCAGCTCCTTGAAGTACTCTGAGAACACCTGATAACACAACCAGCATTTGGACATTTAGGGCCAGTTTCCTGGACATGGAATAGGCCTAGTCTTAGACTACACAACACAATAAAAAGTTGGGTCTGGGAAACTGGCCCACAGCCTAACGTGTTAATATAAAAACAATTCAAGGATTGTTCTTAACCTACACTCAACAAGTGAACTGGTACATGGTATTAAATGACATCTCATCATAGAAACAAGTTATTTTACTTAAGTGTCACTCAAAATTGTCAATGTTGAAGCAAACGTACCTGAACGATTTTATACAGGAAGGAGAAAACCAAGGACACACAGGCGTTTTTCTTAGATGTAGCAACAACTAGTGGTCACAGCGTTAAGGAAAACCACAACATCCTTGTGAAAGTAAAAAAAGTAAGTGCAGCAGCTGGGTTTACTGTTTGCCCTTCAGTGCAAAAATTAACTTAAAACCTCACGTAGTACACTCTAATGAAACACAACAAACGCTACATCAAAAAACAGAAAAAGGAACAAAGTGCTAATGCACCGGGCATTTAACACAACAGGCAATATATAATATGTAATTTCCTGATTATATATCATACAATTGTTAGTTACATCCACTCACACAGTTGTAAAGCATTCTATCAAGTTGTTATATTCAATAACAGCACATTCGTTTTCACATGACCAGCTTCATTCCACTGACTACTGGTTGCTAAGTAACAACAAAAGCTTTTTCTGGGGGGGGAAGGGGTGGGGGGGTAGTTTGGGGGTGTTGGGAGTCTCCCTGTGCACGTAATTTTGAAGAGCAATACAATACGCTCCAGGCACCCTGAGATTAAAACATTCCACAAGAAACAGTCAAGTAGCCTATGTCAAAGGCATTTGGGCTGAGCCGAATGACCAACCAGATCAAAGATAAGATGGGTCTTTAGTAGGGATGCATCAATACCAATTATTTTCAGACCAAGTACAAGTACATAATTTTAGAACTTGCTGATACTATACTGAGTAACCTACGTAGAGTTAAGTAGTTAGTGTAAATGAGTGCTTAGCCTAGCTTAACAGTTAAATAATTCTAATCTGTCTCATTTTAAATGACATGCATTAGCTAGTTATGCTACATTAGTTACCTTGGATCAAGTAGCGCTGCAGTGGAGAAAAGTGGGTTTGTTCCTTGCCAGAAAGTATGTTTCACAGTTTTGAACCCCGATCTGTCTCTTTCAACAACAGTTTCTGTAGCACAGTGACACCAGGTATCACATCCGGTGCTAAAGCATCTGAAAAGCTCACTTGTGGAGTTTTACATTTATAGTCTTTTCTTTGTCTGGTTGAGCTGAAGCTGAATGTCCTCTAAATCCAGATATACACTGTGTGATTTTAGAAATCCTGTTCTTTGGTGACTCGCTATGTACATCTGAATAGACCATCGATTTATATACTCATACTGTACAAAAACCCTTCATCCATGCTACATGAAACACAGCCTCTACAGACAGCTCTGTCCATGAGCAACTTCAAATAAAGCTGCATGGTCAGTACTGAGCAAAGAGAAACTGTGCAGTGCTGCTAACACTGTGCATCAAAGCTAAAAGCCAGGCAGTGATGTACATTATAGGACAATACAGGATCTCTACAGCCTATTTTATCAACAAAACAAATTATTATTTATATCTCATAATTCTACTCAGTCAAACAGAGCAAAGTCAGCATAGATGGTAGGAAATGTTGACTGTTTTGCCTCTGTTTGGCTGGTTTCAGTGTCTTTGCCTATACTGAGGAAGCGGTCGTGATTGTGTGTTTAAAACGGTCTGAAATCACACAGTGTATTCCTGGCGGGAATCCGCCAAGGCGGAATGTTTAAAGAGCCCAATGACTTTGTGTCCGACCACCACGGAGTCAGTAACAGTGTGTGAGCAGAGCTTCCTTCGCTGTCAATTTCAGTCGTGCGTTCATTAGGGCAGCAGTGTTCACTCAGCTTACATCAAATGGTATCAGAACATTGGTATTGGTGAATTTTTAACCAGTACTAGCCCAATACCCAAAACCAATATTGGTATCGATGCATCCATAGTTTTTAGCGACAGTTAGAAAGAAGTAGAGATTAGTGGTTGCAGCCGCAGAGGACCCTAAACTGTATTTTTTCACAGATCTAAATGCTTTTTTTGTTTTAATTAAATCTGTTTAACTTAAAGTAATTTAATCTAAGATCTAAATTATCTTGACGCAAAGAAAATGCACCTTGTTTTAGTTTAGCTTGGTTTTGCAAGTTGCACTCTGTATGTTTTTCAACAGTACAAACCCAATTCCAAAAAAGTTGGGACTGTAGGTAAAATGAAAATAAAAACAGAAAGCAGTCATCTGTAAATCTACTTTTTTATTTGAAAATCTACGTGTATTTAAACAAAAACAGTACAAAGCTATGTAATGTTTTATCTATCTTATAAACTTCTTTGTTTTTTTGTAAATATATATTCATTCTGAAACTAATACCTGCAATATGTTCCAAAAAGGTTGGGCCAGGGGTAATTTAAGACTAGGAACACTGTAAAATGTTCAAGAAACATCCTAAACAGACAACACCAAGCCACTTTCTGCATGTTACAAGAGCTGCGTAATGAGAGAGCGGGTGCTAGATTGGCCTGCCTGCAGTCCAGACCTGTCTCCCATTGAAAACGTGGGTCTTATTAAGCTCAAAATACGACAAAGGCGCTGTACGGCTGCACAGCTGAAGACTTGTATAACTGAAGAATGGTTACCTTTAATGAATGGATAATCAAGTTACTGCTGGGATGGAAAAACAACAGACTTCAGCTGAAATTAACACAGATCTTTAGGCTTACCTTTTTTTGGTGACAGCGTTGGTGTTACACAAAAAATTAGCAGCACGCAGAGGAAGACATTTGAAAACGTTTCAGTTTTTAAAAAATAGCCGAGGGAAATCGAACGGTTTTCGTGCGAGATGTTTAAAAGGAGGCTGCCACTTCAGCTGAGCTAATGAGCCATCAGGGCTAACAGGTACAACACTAGATGCTGATGGAGACTTCTATCTTCTTATCTCCCCCCCTCAGCGGACAATCAGGATATTAGTTTGTCCAAAAAATTAATTTTTCAGTTTCTGGACCTAAATAACAGTGTTAGCGATAATGTCACGCCATCTCAATCAAGTCCTTGGCAGAATGCTAATGTTAAATCACTCACCTATTGGAGTAGCAAAGTGTAACTTGCCAAATTTTACAGTCTTGTTTAACCATAAAACTGCTTTTAACAGAACTGTTAGCCAATATACTTCCTGTGAAACATAACACGGACCTGAACAGTGATTTCAGTATTCAAATACTGGTTAAAGGTTAACAGAGTTCTTGAGCATCCACGCACGTCCCTACTCTAGATCTGCACTCCAGCCCTTATGGCACAGATTAATACAGAACAAGAGGCAGACAAACACAGGAAGGATACGGTAGAGGTTGTTGTGTTTGATCCACATGAAGCGCACTCCTCCGTGGGCCAGGATGGGGGAGAGAGTCCCCTCCTCTTCTTTATCCATCAGCAGGGTCATGAAGTGCTCGATCTCAGACATGTCCACATCGCCGCGGTAGTTACGGCAGATCAGGACCTATCAAAACACACGTAGACACCACAAAAACATACGACACAGCGAGGTCACTAATAGAAACAGAAGCAGGCTGCACAAACAGCACAGTCACAATCTGAGCTGGAGCAATAACACTGACCTCAGATTATACAGTCAGCAGTATTAGAAGCTATGAAAAACAATAAAAAAGTAACCACAGTGTCCTTTGGCAGACAAAGCAGTAGGGACAGCCTACCGGGCTACAAAAGGACACCATACTTAAGTTCTCAACCCTGAAAGCTGAAGCAGTAGCACAAGCAAATGGGGTCTTAAATAAACTTTTTTTCAATAATTTTTTCCAACTTCTTGCATAATTAAGTGGTTAAAATGTAAACAAAGTCATTCAGAGTTGTTTGATGAGAAATGCTCCAATCCATGGAAATGTTCACAGTGTTCGGTTACTGAAGTAACCAGATATGCGAAGCATTTAATACCTCTAAAGCTTTGTCACAGAACAATACTACATTGACAAAAAAAATACATTGATGATGGAGATGCACATGCAGGACATCGTAAGGCAAAGTAGGTTTTTTTTATTTTTTTTTTTTAATTTGCCATTACTTTACTTTATCAGCATTACATATAAAACTCAGAGGAGACATGTAGGTTCACTGGTCATTTAGAACAGCAAATAAAAAGCTTATATCTGCACTGTAGACATAGCAATTCGTGGTTACTAATCACCACCACTGTAAAGAAATCAGAGTCTGTAAGTTTCTCTACAGTGAACCATTTCACATCAAACCACTCTGAATGACTGTTTACATCTCAACCACTGAAAAAACTTTCACTTGGGAATAACTCGAGCTATAATATAGTTAGTAATACAATGATTTAGACAGGATTAATCTGTGTTTGGAAATGGATGACATCGGAAAAAGATATGCAAGACGTCTGTTACGTGTGAAAAATCTTTTTACAATTATTTACAACCTTTTTAAAAGTTTTTAATGTTTAAAAGATTTTTTTTCCCTCCAAGAACCAGACGTACAAGCCAAAAACCATTCGGGAACCTTTATTTTAAGAGTGTAAGACTGACAACCGCTTGTCTAGGAGGAACACGTATGCTATTTCACTTAAATTCCCCAGTAGCATTTTTAAAAATGACTGTAAAATCAATATTTTAACAAAATGAAGCATTAAAATACTTATGTAAATGTCTCAGAGAGATTTACCACATCTTTACTGCATCCTTCTTAATTTGTGGTTTTGCAAACAAATCTCTCAGAAAATGACGAAAGAGAAGTTAGCTAGCGCCGCTAGTCGGTCGGTATCAGGGACTGTTACGGTCCATTTTGGCATTAGAAAGCCACTCAAAAACACAGACATGAACGTACACCGTCTGTAACATTCAGACCTACAAAATTATGTTCACAAATACAAAAGACAAATGTAAGTTAACCAGCTTCGTCGACTACAGCAGCAGTTGTCAGGGTGTGTAACTCAGCTCTGTTCCGTTATCTCACCTTGCCTTTCAGATCCAACACATAAACAGCGCTGGCAGACATGCTGATGTTTCTGTTCGCTTCCTAACGAAGCGACCGATTTTCAGCTCCAGAGATCCAACAGTCGCCTTCCCAGATTCATACACAGCGTTAACGGTTTGATCGCATCGGTGTGGGATGCTGAAATCTCCGAAACAGCAAATGTTAAGATTTTGGGCCGCCGGTTTCCACGGTCTTAGTAAAATATTTCCGTGCTGCCCCCTACCGGCGTGGAGGACGCAGCGACCGGCTAGCATCTCGGCAGCTCTGGCTAACTTCTCTAGCTTGGTTTGCAGAGAGGTTTGGTATGGAAGCCCGTCGGAAAGCTACTGTGAAAATACATAACCATTTAGTAAGTCATTAAAATGAGAAAGCTTTCCATAATTATGATTTAGCATCTCATAATTATGACTTACGACAGAGAACTTGTAGAGAGGAGATTTACCACTCTGCAATGTCTTCCAGGTTTTCTCAAACGCTAGAGGGCGCTCCCGAATGAGTCCAAAATGAATGGGTTGATATGGAGCATCTGAGCAAAATCATAGTTTATAAATGCTTAAACATTTTTAATGTAAAAGAATGCAATAACGTCCTGGACACAGAGCAGCATAAAACATTTTAACACTGCTGTTATATTTTAAAGAGCTTTTAAACTCGAGTTATAGGAGTTTAAAACGGCGCCTCATGTACGTTCATGACGTCAGTGAGCGCGAACAGCCAATGAGCTGCTCCGCTCGCCAATCAATCATCACGCTCTAGCAGTAATGCCCGCCTCCTGCTGCCCAAAACCCGTTTGCTTCAGAAAAAAGAAATGTACAGTTAGGATTTCTTTGTTTTTTTAGTGAAATACATCCTTCTACTTTCTAAAATTAAAGAAACATTCTGGGAAAGTGATTAGAAACTATTTTAACTTTTCGTTTTTAGCCGTTGAGCGCCATTTACTCCCGTTCACTTAGGACTCACTCGTGGGCGCCCTCTGCTGTTTAGCAGTCCTGGTTTTGATATAACGAGGGAATAGGAAGCGGCCAGGCTCCTCGTAAACCGGCTCTGCTTACGACTTATCATCTCATAATTATGACGTACTTTCTCGTAATCATGATAGTAAGTAATTATTATGAGATATTAAGTCATAATTATGAGAAACTTTCTCGTTATTATGAGATACTAAGTCATTATTATGATTTACTAAATCGCTATATATTTTTCTCAAGTGGTGGGAAGTATTTAAACTAGAGAATGGCCAAAGTTCATTTATGAACCTGAGCAACTGGCTAAAGGGAGAGGGGCTCTACTAAAAGGGGTTAATTTTAGAGAAAAATAAACAATTAATGATTTTTAAATTAATAATGAATGATATTTAAATTACTACATTACTGATTTTTCCAAATGTCTGCATAATTTAGTCATGGAGATGTAAACAAAGCCATTCAGAGCGTTTTGATGTGAAACGATGCATTGTAGAGAAACTAACCCTTATAAAACCTCTTTACAGTGGTAAGGATGGGAACCAGGGTTCCAGTGTTTGTTTTTTTTTTACTATCCAGAATGATCAGTGAACCGACACGTGTCTTCTGAGTTTTTATATGTACAACCCCAATTTCAAAAAAGGTGGCATGCTGTGTAAAATGTAAATAAATATAAATAAAAACAGAATGTAATGATTCTCAAATCTCATAGACCCATATTTTATTCACAATAGAATATAAAACACATATCAGATGTGAGACATTTTACCATTTCATGAAAAACATTAACTCATTTAGAACTTGATGGCAGCAGTACATCTCAAGAAAGTTGGGACAGGGGCAACAAAGGTTGGAAAAGTGGTACTAATAAAAAAAAAAAACAGCTGGAGGAGCAATTTGCAACTAACACGACTGGGTATAAAAAGAGCATTTTAGAGAGGCAGAGTCTCTAAGAGGCAAAGATGGGCAGAGGTTCACCAATCTGAGAAAATCTGTGTCTAAAAATTGTGGAACAATTTCAGAAAAAAGTTCCTGAGCATAAAATTGTGAAGACTTTGGATATCCCACCATCTACAGTACATAATATCATCAGAAGATTCAGAGAATCAGGAGAAATCCCTGTACGCAAGGGACAAGGCTGATGGTCAATATTGGATGCCTGTGATCTTCGGGCCCTCAGGCGACACTGCATTAAAAACAGGTATGATTCTGTACTGATAATCACTGCATGGCTTCAGGAACACTTCTAGAAATAATTGTCTGTGAACACAGTTTGCTGTGTAATCCACAAATGCAAGTTAAAGCTGTATCATGCGAAGAAGAAACCACGTCAACACGAGCCAGAAACGACGCCATCTTCTCTGGGCCAAAGCTCATTGAAAAATGGAAAACTGTCCTGTGGTCAGATGAATCAAATACTTGAAATTCTTTTTGGAAACCACAGATGCCGTGGCCTGCTGACTGAGGAGGAGAGGAACTATTCAGCTTGTTATCAGCGCACAGTTCAAAAGCCTGCATCTCTGATGGTTTAGGGTTGCATTACTGCCTATGGCGTGGGCAGCTTACACATCTGGAAAGGCACTATTAATGCTGAACAGTATATAGAGGTTTTACAACAACATATGCTCCCATCCAGACAACGTCTCTTTCAGGGAAGGCCTTGTATATTTCAGCAAGACAATGCTGCATCCATCACAACAGCAAGGCATCGCTGAAGAGGAGTCCGGGTGCTGAACTGGCCTGTCTGCAGTCCAGACCTTTCACCAATCGTAAACATTTGGCGCATCATGAAACGAAAAATCCGGCAAAGAAGACCCAGTATTGCTGAGCAGCTAGAACCCTTCATCAGACAACAATGGGACAACATTCCTCTTCCAAAACTCCAGTAATTGGTCTCCTCACTTCCCAGACGTTTACAGACTGTTGTTAAAAGATGAGGGGATGCTATACGATGGTAGGCACCGCCCTGTCCCATTTTGATGCGTTGCTGCCATCAAGTTCTAAATGAGTTAATGTTTTTCATGAAATGGTAAAATGTCTCACTTTCAACATCTGATCTGTGTTCTATGTTCTATTGTGAATAAAATATTGGTTTATGAGATTTGCAAATCATTGAATTCTGTTTTTATTTACATTTATTTACATTTTACACAGCGTCCCAACTTTTCTGGAATTGGGGTTGTATTATTAATATGTGTTATTATTATTTTCTGGTAAAATAGTGGTAAGTACAAAAATAAAAAGATTTCTTTGAGGACTATTTTGCCTTTAAACACCTTGCATGTACCTTTCTGCCATGAATATTTATAAAAATATATGTTTTAGATTAAAGCTTTATCAAAAAACTATCACAAAACAACATCTCAGACATCAGCCTATGTATTTGTAACAAATTTTTTTTCAAGTTTCAAGTTTATTTGTCATTTGCACAACATGTCAGGACATTTATGCACTGAAATGCTTGTGGTGAGGCTCAGGTAATCACTTAACAGAAAGTAAAAATAAAAATAGAAGAAAAACAAATATATTAAATATACATTTTAAAGTGACTTAAGTGACAGTGTTATTGTTCTTTAAAGTGACTTAGTGTTAAAGTGTTATTGTCCATAGCAGAGATATGATATAATAATAATGCTGACTGAGTGACTGAGTGAAAAGGTAGTTGGGGAAGGACCCACAGCTTCACAGCTTGTTCAGAAGCCTGACAGCCTGTGGGTAGAAACTGTTAATTAACCGGGTTGTTCTAGCCTGTATGCTACGAAATCTCCTGCCTGATGGCAGCATGGTGAACAGGCCGTGTGCTGGGTGACTGCTGTCTGACCAGATCTTTTTGATCTTCCTGAGGCAACGAGACTGGTAGATGTCCTGTAAGGCTGGTAGGTTGTTGCCTATGATGGCTTCTGCCGTCCTCACCACTCCTTTAAGGGCCTTGCAGTTGTAGGCGGTCCAGCTGCTGTACCAGACAGTGATGCAGCCCGTGAGGATGCTCTCTATGGTGCATCTGTAGATGTTGGTGAGGATCTGAGGAGGCAGACCAAACTTCCTGAGCCTACGCAGGAAGAAGAGACGCTGACGGGCAGATCTCACAATAGTGTTGGTGTGGAGGGACCAGGTGAGGTCAACAGTGAGGTGTACGCCGAGGAACTTCACACTGCTGACTCTCTCCACTTTGGCTCCATTGATGAATATGGGAGAGTGACCACCCCTCTGCCGCTTCCTGTAGGCCACAATCATCTCCTTTTGCTGATGTTGAGACAGAGATTGCTGTCATGGCACCACATGCACAGAGGGCTGACCTCGTCTCCGTAGGCTGTTTCATCTCCACCAGTGATGAGGCCTAGGATGGTAGTGACATCAGCGAACTTGAAGATGATGTTAGATGTGTGTTTGGCTACACAGTCATGTGTATACAGGAGGGGGCTGAGCACACATCCATGGGGAGCCCCTGTGCTCAGAGTCAGTGTGGAGAAGAAGCTGTTCCCAACTTTCACCACCTGGGGTCTGCTCGTCAGGAGGTCCAGTGGTGGTGGTGATAGGAACGAGACGTCTGAAGTGTTTAACCCCTTAGAATCCCAGACTTATTACATACTAATTACATTTCATGTAACGATTTTCTGTGAGGGACCTTTTAGAGGTATTTACTGTACTCCTTAAATGTTTTATTGCACACTTCTATAACCTAAAAATAGCTCAACCAGTTTGCAATGAAGTCCCTGTAGTTACTAAATACTAAGCCTTAGTATGTAATAAGTCTGGGATTCTAAGGGGTTAAACACTTTAGACGTCTGGTTCCCATCACCACCGTTGTAAACAATTTGACTTCGTAAGTTATCCTAGAACAGAATATTTTATACCGAACCACTCTGAATGGCTTTGTTTACATATTAACAATGTAAATGCACAGGAATTTTGAAAAAATCAGCAGATTTGTTGTTAATAATAGTAATATTACCAACACATACTTCACATTCAGGTGCACAGATGGCTAAATAGCTTCTAACTGAAATTTAATATTTCTGAATAAAAGTGGAATAGTATGCTAGACGCCCGTACAGCATGTGGGTCTACCACAATGTTTGAAGGCTCTTTGCTTGTTTGTTTGTTTCCCTTTGAATTGACATCAGCTTGACTATATATATGTTTTAACTTTGACTTGGTAATGATCTGATCTAAGTTGGCACTTTTCAATTTCACCATTAGGTGTCACTTGATGTTCACCTTCCTTTTGTCTTCT